GGGGCACCGAACGTAATCCTGTCCTGCCTGGCTGTTATTACCGCCAGTCTGTGGTTGCAAGGGTTTTCTCCTCCTTCGACCAGATCCTTTTCATTTCTTCTGTTGAAGACAGTCGTCAGGCAATGCTGGCTACCAGCCCAGGCAAACAGGGGTTCATTACCAGTTATTACCCCCGGGTCTGTCACCGAGTTTTGGCACGGGTGGCCACTTAGGGAGGAAGAGATAAAAAATAGTTCTCCGGTGTCTGAAAGAGATATGGCGCATATGGAAGGAAAACGGTGACTCCTGAGTTTGCGGTGCTCTCGCTGCTTGGTCTGTATTTGTTTCTGCTTTGGAATGAAGTATTTGCTAGGCTTCTGAAAATGAGACCAATGAGTCAGGTTTTCTGTGGGTGGTGAACCTGCAAGACACCAAAAAAAAATGCTATTTCTTTTTCCCCAGTCTAAATAAAATACATTTTTTCCCGATGCTGCAGTGAGACAGTCCCTGAACAAACAACTAATATTAAGCCCAGAGCAATAAAGCTGCAGAAAGGTGTGCAGCCCCGCGACCACAACAGCATCTCGCTCCTTGTACAACAGCAGTAAGAAAACAGTTTCATTTAATGCAACTGGAGAAAGAAAGTAAATTTTACTGACAGATGGGTGCCCAAAAATCTGTGGGGCAGGTATGGGGATCTATAGGGGTGCCGATCCTCCGTGGAAGAAGGATCTCATCCAGCCATAGCTGCGGCTTCTCTCCGTGTTGTGGGTCCAGCCCGCGGTGGTGCACGTTGTCTTTAAGAGTGTCAAGTTTGCAACCTGCCTCGATTTCCTCTTCCCGTGGCCATCTCCGTGCCTGCTGTTCACCACATCCATTGCATTTCAGCCAGCAACAATAATTCTTCAAGACAGTCTGCTTGGAGACAAGCAAGCTGTGGAAGAAGAAAAGGGGAAAGGGAAAATTTGGTAGCAGCCCAGCTGAGCCAGGGTAGAGGTTATTAAAGAAACATCACCTTTAGATCCAGTTTGGGATGGGAGATCTTTTGCAAAGTGGTCCCACTTTTCCCAGTGGTCCCATTCAGCCCGATACAGCAGGAGTGGGTTAGTAGGGAGGGAATGGAGTGGTGAGGTGTTTTCTGGCTCATATATCATTTGTGTTGCCACTTGCCAAAGGGATGCTGGTCGTTACCCACCAAAGGAGATTGATGTCTACCTCTATGGCACTTAGCATCCCTTGACCTCAGCCAGGCCCATGTAGTAGGATGGATAGTGTCCTCCCTGCCTGCATCATCAGCACCCGTTGAATCCATCCTTCCATCCATCCGTCCATCCATCCATCCCCCCTCTGCATGGTGGCTCACCACTTCCAGGCAGTGACTCCTCAAGATGCTTTGAGCCCACTTAAATCACTGATCCTGGCTCAGTGAGAAAGAATAAATTGGTCTTTTATCATCTCTTGATCTTAGCAGGAGAGGAGCGCTAAGACTTGATGCAGAGATATGGAGAGATAAAATACTAGTAAGGTTTTTGAGCATCGACTTGAGTCTTGGTTCATCTCCCAGTTGCTTTTTTGGACTTTGTGTCCCTTGAAAGAGGCCCTGCTACTACTCTGGTGAGGGCAAGCCTGGAGGATCCCACCAGATTTCTCCATCAGCAGAGCAACCCCTTGCTTTGGGCTTTTTCCCCCAATTTTTGCTAAAAGTGGTAAAATCTGTAGCTCCCTGGGGTGGGATGGGGAAGTGCTGGGGCAGGGATATTGGTTTCTTGGCTCCTGGGGTCCCACCCGGCCACCGGGACTGGCCCAGAGCCAAACCATGAGCCTGCCCCTTTCTCTTTTGGACCGAGTTGAATTGAATTGTCTTTTCTACCGCTCCTTTGGTGCCTGTTTGCTTCCTGCCTCTTTGAGATGGGGCCGGGACGTGCAAAGGAAGCAAGACCAGTGGGGGATTTCCTCCACCTTCCTTCCAACCCTTTCTTTGTTTACGCCTCTTTTGTATTGTTTCTACCTTCTGAGGATTTTTTTTTTTCCTAACCTCTCTTGTTGTCAAAACCTCTGTCAAACTTTTATAGCCCTATTTATGGGATGGACCCATTTTTGTGGCTAGCTGGATGCCTGGTCTCTAGCTTGGTGCAACCATCACTGAGGATTCAAGCCAGGCAAGTTGCTAATACAGCTAAGGAGGTGGCTAGATGAAAACTCCCTCCTGTCTTTTGCACCTGAGTTTCATCTGCTAGATCCTTGTGTCTGTGTTTTGCTCCCTTACCTCTTCTTCTCCTGCAGACAGTGGTCAGTCTATAGGAAATATGACTTACCTCCACAAAAGTTCTTTTCCTACAGATGTAGTAGAGATGTTTTCTCGCAAGTTCAGGGTTTCCTAAAATAATTCATGCTGCTAGTTTCAGTTGAACTCACATCTTAATGGTGTTTTCAGAAATGGCTGCTCCCAGCAGCTGGTGGGGAAACAGGAATAGGAACTGTATTTCAGGAGAGGGTCTGCACATCTTTTTTCCTGGCTCTGCATTTCTCCTGGAGTGGTCAGGCAGTTGGACTGGATGATCTGTGGGTCCCTTCCGAATGAAAATATTCTATTCTATAGTCTATTCTATTCTATTCTGTTCTGTTCTATTCTATTCCCTGTTCGGATGCCTACCCAGAGCCCAGCCATAGCTCCTCTGCCTCTTTCCAACCCACCCTGTCCACAGGCAGCTCCCGTGGGACCCCAAACCTGTTGCAGCCTCCCTGTCCCGAATCCCACTGCTCAGATCCTATCTCAAACATACCTCCACACCCTGCCGGGGTCCTGATGTGGTGGGGTTAGATTGCCCCAGCAGTATGAATCTCAGAAGCTCAAGCTTTCTTCAGATCTTTGAAGCGCAGCCAGTGCTAGTAAACAGGCTCTGTAAGAGAAAATACTTTGCTAGTGTGCCAGCACGGAGGAATGAAGCAGATTGCAGAGTGCAGCATTAGGATATGGATAAAAATCAAACCTTGGATTTGTGACTCCTGTTTTGGAAGGTTGGAAATAATATACAAGTGCCTCATAGGGAAAAAAAAAAAATAGCCCTCTTCTGCACAGTCATCAAATGGAATAACTGCTCCCCTCTCCTAAATCAGGGTGTTGTCTTGACTCCAGACAGATCCACGGATGAGGTGGCTCAGTGCAGCCCACGGTTCCCAAAAGGTGAAAAATTGATCGAACCTTTCCTGGGGTCAATGTGAGGAAGAGCTCAGAGGTGGTGGTTACCATGTGCAATGGGGGGGGGGGGAATTTATCTCTGTGGCAATAGATGAAGCTCCCGCAGTGATTGCAAACAGAAAAATGGACCCAAATTTTTATATCCAGTCTAGTAGTGAATATACCACTTTTTAGCATTGTGTGATGTTGCAATCTTTTGTCAGACAAGCTGTCTTTCAGCTGCATCCCTCACTGAGAAACAGCTTCATAATTTGAAAATCTAAAGCATTCTTCAGAAAACAACTGCAGATCTCCTTATGTATGATAATGTGAGATAACTGAGCAATGGACAACCCTCTCCGCTTTGAGACCGAGCTTTTTTCCCACTTAGGTAATGTCAATTCTTAGGGAAATACTTCATGGATTTCCTCAAAAACAAATAAGCCATGATAAAAGTAGCATTTCTACGTGATGTACAAATGCAGGGTAAAGACCATGGAAAAACACATGGGCATTTCGTTGTTCAGATTGTGGCATTAGGGATTTGCGTGGTATACGTAGATGGAGCCCTTCATTTTCCTGGCTTGCTTCTCCTTTTCCTAAATGCATCCTTTGATTTTTTTTTAAGATTTTCCTTTGAAAGTAAACACTGACTTTAAACATTTTTGTGTGACTTTCTCAGGCTTTTCAGAATAGTAGAGTGATCAGCTAAACAAGTATGTGATTGTAGATTGGTGATAGTATTTGCAATGGGCAGCTGAAATGAACATTCTTAAAATTAAAATAATGCAGCTCCAAGTCAATGCTTTTTGTATTTACTTGCAAACTCGGTCCAGTGTTGACCTATTCTTTCAGAGCAAGTAGAATAAATACTGTTTCCACAGTTCACCCAACTGGGAATTTCAGTGTGTATGAATTTTCGTAGGATCATAGAATCACACAATGGGTTGGGTTGGAAGGGACCTTAAAGCCCACCCAGTTCCAACCCCCCTGCCATGGACAGGGACACCTTCCACCAGACCAGGTTGCTCCAAGCCCCATCCAACCTGGCCTTCAACACTTCCAGGGATGGGGCATCCACAGCTTCTCTGGGCAACCTCTGCCACTGCCTCACCACCCTCAATAGTTTGACTCTGTGGATTCAAGTGAGAGTACCTATTTTATGTTTTTATAGTATTTATCTGAGGGTTTTTTTTCGGAGGGAACCTAAGTTGAAACGTGAGCAATTAAAGGAACAAAGCTTGAGCTTGCAAAAAGAATGTAACTTTCAGAATGATCAGAAGGGTCACCTTATTTATCTGAGGCTCCTCGCCACTTCAGGGATGTGGGAGACCCTCATAACGGGTTTGAACAAACAGCATTCGGCACATCCCTTGGCTGCTCCCTTATGAGGGCTGGATGTACTTTATTTCGGGAATGACTTGCAGTGCTCTGCACGGGAGCTGGTGCACCTCCCATATGAAGGACACCTGCCTTCTGGGACCCAGCAGGTCTTGCCCTCCTGCTCACCCTCCAACCCCTTTGAAGTCCTGTGAGTTTGACTTCTCCTCTTCCTCCTGCTCTGCTCTGCTTTTTGCTGGACACAGTGACACCAGAATGTGGCATTTGGTATGAGTTTAGAGGGCATGAGACAAGCCCTGAGTGAATGACTCATGGTTTCTGGTCAGCATTTATTTCTACAAATACCTGTTCTGGGTGGAAACCAAGGGTAGTTTCCTCAGTTCAAAGTTTATCTTGACGTTTTCACTTTTCCCTAGGTGTCAGCTCTCAGAATGTTTCAGAGACAGCTCCTGCAAGCCAAGGAGAAACTGGGAAGATCATCACAAGTACAGTCACCAACAAGATGCAAAGGACCATCTCTACAAGCAGTCCAGGAAACCCGTCATCCACCTCTACGATGTCACCTGCCGTAGTTCAAGAAACCACGCCTACAAGTGACCTGAGAAACCCACCGCCCGCCCCTGTGATATCACCTACCACTGTTCCAGTGACCACCTCTACAATCAAACCACAAAACCCAACACCCACCTCTACGATGTCACCTGCCGTAGTTCAAGGGAACAGCACCACAAGCAACCTAGGAAACCCATCACCCGCCCCCACGACATCACCTCACCTGTCTCGGCAGGTGAGCTCTTCAGCCAGCTCCAGAGCTTCAACAGCTGCTCCTCCTGCAACCTCCAGCTCCACCCAGCAGAAGACTATCCCTCCAGCCAGCTTGGGAAGCTCAGCAGCCACCAGTGCTGCAAGTCCCATCCCCACTCATGTGAGCAGCCTTCCATCCACCCCAGGAGGTTTAGGGACTGCTGTCACATCCCCTTCCAGCGTGAAAGCTCAGGGAAGGCAACCTTCGGACCAATTGTCTGGCACCACTGCGAGCACCGGAGTCCCAAGCAGCAGCCTTTCCCCTGGGCTCAAGGACTCTGGTGTCTCCTCTCCCATGTCTGTCACCAAACAGCCTCACTCTTCACCCAGTTCTCCAGTCCAGGGACTGACCTCTTCTACTAGACCTGGAAGCATTGACACTTCTGTTACCCCTTTTGATGGATCTGTGTCCCCCACCACTAGTAAAGCATCTCTGTCTTTACCATCTGGCAGCATCGACAAGGTCTCAGAGGCCACCACCATGCTGACTCCTGGAGCAGGTACCAGAAGACTAGAACCTTGATTTGTCGTGCTGGGAAGCCCTTTTGTGATCTTTTCCTTTGGCTACTCTATAACATCTCCTGTCATTATGGGGTGTCATTACCTTGTCTCTTTTTAGGACTTTCCAGAGCAGTTGTCTCCATGACAGCTGGCTCTGTAGGTCCCTGTTGTCATCGGTGGAGATCGAGTCAATGCAGTTGGTGAAATTCAAGGCATGAATCAACTAGCAAAGCATAGACATTGGCTTTCAGATGGACCAAACTGTGCCTGAAGCACCATCGACTGCAATGACTCGATCTTCAGTGACTGCAAAAGGGAGCCAGCAGCGATGAGTTCGGAGGTGGAGACTGACGTTGTAGAGTTGGTGAAACAGATTGACAGCACCCTGAATGCTGACTGTAGAAGATCCCTAGTATAGCTGACGGCTCAGTGAAGGCTGTCTGGGCATGCACAGAAAATAAGCTTTAGATGACTAAGGAGATTTTGTGGCTAAACTCTGAGTCTACAACCTCTAAAGAGTCTAAGCAGTTAGGTAGGATATTCGTCATTGCTGGGGGGGTTTGGCTGCTGACTTCTGTCTAAGCAGCATTATGAATGTCCACGTGGTGTTTAGGATCTTGCTGAACACCATTAATATGTTTTTTCTAGACCTCTGGAGCTTTACAGAGTCATGTCAGTCCACAAGTGTCCTGGTGAGGCACAGTTCAGGCTCCCCCTTGGCGTTTTGTCTGGCAGCGTTTATGGGGAGTTAATCACACTGTGGGACTGTGAGGACTCCATGGAGCCTTCCAGACTTGGGTGGGATCGTGGGTTCAGCTCACATCTGGCTCTGACTAGAAGTTGTGATGACACCGAAGCCCTTCATTATCTTCCCCTGGAGAATGTTGTTCTTGATCCAGTTTCCAGTTACCTGCAATACAGAACCCACTCAGAAAACCATCTCCATCCCCCTCAGCCTTCCAGCTGTCAGCATCACTAAATGGGTCAACGTCTTAATGCAAGACCGGCTTCACCCAAGTCATGTTTTGAGCATGTTAGCAGGCATGAAGAGGTGAAATGGGTATCTACATGAAGGATGTTTCCTTCCCCTCCTGCTCCACAGTCCTCCTCCATTAAAGGATGATATATGAAATGATGTTAATTCAAATTTGACCTCAAGCATTTAGCATGAAGAGGTCTAAAAAACTTTTACATTTAATAAATAGGTGAGAGAATGCAAGAGAAACAGATGGCTTTGAAATTAATTCTCTCCTAGAGCCTTCAGAATGTGTCTGGGAGAGAAATATCCCTCATCTTTTCTCTGGAAGAGGCAGGAGTCCCAAAAGCAAAGAGGCTGTGAACAGAATGTGGGTTTTTAATTTTCTTTGTCACCATTTAAAGATAAATTAGGAACCCAGGGATGGAGATCCATTTCTTCAAAAGGATTTGGGGAGACAGGAGGCTGTTATGCTCCTTGCACTACTCCCATTGCACAAGAAACTCTAAGATGCTAGAGACCTTAACAAAGGTATCTGAGATACCTGCATGGGGCTGGTAGACATGGGGCATGTGCCCTTCTGGAGTAGCAGGCAGGACACCCCAGGCTGTCTTCCATAGTACCAGGCACTACTTCTAAGCTTGTCACCCTGGACTTCTTCCATAGCTGATGGAGATGCAGTCAACCAAGGTTATGGCCTTTCATCCTCTCTTAAATGGAGGTGGCTGCAGTTGTCATTGGGATTGCACAATGAACTCCATTTGCTGGGAGATCCTGGGTAGCCAGCTCAGATATAGTCTACCCCTGTTGTAGAAACCTCCATGGAAGGCACCTCGGATAAAGTGGAATGAGGGCCATCCCATTTACCCAGCAATACTCCTTTTTTAAGTGATTACCCAGCTACCAACGCACAGCCGTCATAGTCTTTGGGTTCGTCTCTCCAGTACAGTCTGATGGGTTTCAGCAGCAGAAAATAAAATCAGCAATAATATTTTTTCCATATCAAAGTGAATTAAAAAAAAAAAAAAGAAAAAAAGCAGCAACCCAAAGCGTCTCTAAGATTTGACACAATGAGCTTCAAGGCAGGGCTAGAGCTGAAAACTTATTTTCAGCCGCTCACACACAGAGCTGTGTCAGCTGTATCCTTTATACTGTATCACTGTCTGTCTGCTTGTTTTTTGGTGTATATTGGGGACCCAGATGAGAGAAGCCATGACGCCAAATCTGCGTCAACCAAACCTACAAGCACTTCCCAGAGCCCTGCCAGTACACGGCCATCGGCCCCAACCCCGGAGGACCAGACAGCGAGCACCAGTCCCGGCTACCAGCACCCTAACGCTTCTTTCCAAAATGAGGTAATGATGCCTACGGGAAGGTGGGCGCTTCGTAGTGTTGTCTGTTAATATTTAGCTGGCATCCCACGTACGTGTGGAGTCTGTAGCCTTTCTCGTGGTGCGTGTTTGTGTCGGAGAGATCTGCCTTAGGAAAACATGAGGCAGCAAAATAATTCTAGATCATAGAATCATAGAATGGTTTGGGTTGGAAGGGACCTTTAAAGGTCATCTAGTCCAACCCCTTTCTCCTGTAGCTTTCCAGTGAAGAGACACAGAGGGTGGAGGTGAAGGGGATTATGGTCTGGGTGCTGAACAGGGAAGAAGTAAAATTTGGGAAGAAGGAGGGAAGCATTATGGAGAGCACGAGCTGCCTTGGGGTGGACTTGGACGTGACGAGAGAGCAAAGACCACAATTCAGCATAAACCTTGCATGGATGATATTAGCACGAAATGGTTTGGGAGTGTAGGGAGTCTCAAAACACAAGCCAGGATAACTAAAGATCCCAGGGCTTCTGTTTCCAGATGCTCGTCTTAAGTAGGGCGGGACTGCATCATGGCATACTGGCATGGATGCCCCAGCCAATTCCCGCTTTACCCCGTACTGCAAATCCTAAGCCTGGTTTGAGAAGTGCATTAGCACCCATGTCAGTTACCTCTGAAAACCCTTCCACACCTAAAGGGTTGAGTGAAGGGCTCCCGGGCCTGTCTCGTTTCCATAAAATAGATCAGAGTTTCGGCTGGGATGTCTCCTGGCTTGGGGCAATCTGTTGTATCGGTGACCAACTGTCCTTCCAGCCTGTATCAAACATTTGAGAGTTGCTTTTCTTCTGTCCTTCTAGGTCATCTGTAAAGACCAGGTACAAAATAATGTGCCCACCATATATCTGAAAGAAGCTAAAACCTGTGTAAGTACCACCCTTTTGGACTTCTTTGTAGGGCTGACAGCAGTGTTGCAGTTGGAGATCAGCTCTTAACCTCTGGTACTCTGAGCATGTGAGCCTACAGAGATGAGAGTAATTTCATCAAAATAAGATACAACCACTGTTGGGGTGTAAAATGGTAAATGCAAACCCACAGTCAGCAGTATCACCTGCTGAGGGATATGGCAGGAGGAGGAGAGACCTGTGTGGTCTTCTTAAAGTAGAAGGACCAGCTGAGCCTGCCCAGGTCTCGGAAACAGAGCAATGAGAAAGTTTAGAGGGAGAAACTTTCCCTTTGCAAAGGCTAACAGGAAAGATTTTTGCCTTTGCAGAGGGGGCAGAAGTTCATCCCAAAATCCCAGCAAAATATGTGGAGTTCCTCCACAGCTGTTGTGTCCTTGGTGAGATCTTGCAGCCTCACAGCCGGGGTAGCGTGGCATCCGACCGCAGAGCAACTGGGAAGCAGAGCAGCCTGGAGTTTGGGACTCACTATGCTCCTCAATGCTATATCAGTTCTGACAGAACCCTACAGTGAGAGCCAAAAAACTCCATTTCATTTGTTTCAGACCCTCTACAAGACCAGGGAGTAGTAAAATGTAGTGCCAAGGTTGGGGAAAAGCAAACCCAACCCAAGACTATGCACCAAGACCACCTTCTTCTGGTGGATGGGTACTGTCTGCTGCCTTTTCTGAGGGATACCCACCTTCAAAATGATTCTTGTGGAAACTATGAGTTTCCTGTAATAGGGAAGATCCAATATATCGATAACCTTTAAATAGCTTGAAGTTTTAAGTTTATGGCAAAGAGGAAGAGACAACACCACATGGCTGGTGAGATCCTGACAAAGTGATTGTATCTATCATCTGAGCTGTGGGTAGGGCTCAAGGGTGGGTTTTGGCATTATAATGCTCTGGTTTCTGGATCTCAGCACTGCAAAGGAAATTTGGGAATTCCACAATTGGGAAATTGGCACTTCAGGGACCTTCTCTCAGCTTATGCTGCACAGCATCAGAAATAGCTGCTCAGGTTCATGAACCTCTGCTGTCCCATTTGTACAATGGGTTGACTCTTGACTTCACCATACGGTGGTGAGACACAAAGTGAAGCCACACTGTGTTCGTAAAACCCCTTGAGATACACGCTGAGACAAGCATGATCGTTCCTACTGACGACAGCGGCTCTTGAAATTCCCTGTGGCTTGGTGATGGCCTGGAGAGGGCTTGGACCTCCTGAGAGCACCCACCGTGCTCCTGGAGGAGAGGAAGCGCCTGTCTGCTGCCATCTCATGGTCATCACCTTCCTATTTTGGCTGCTGCTGGGTGTAAGTGCTCCTTGCCCGCACACCTGCAGAAATGATGATGTTCTTAGCTGTGCTGCCCTTCACGCTGAGGATGACTGCAAGGAGGGACCTTATTACCATGATGCCCATGGTCCAGACATCACAGCAGGACAGCATCTCCTGAGAGCACCCCCTGCCCTGCTTTGTGCAATGTCAGAACCTGCAGCCGCGTCCATCAAATTTCATATTGAATATATAAAAATGTTTCATCAGATTGACAAAATTGAATTTTGGAGCCTAAAGCATGCAGGTGACTTATGACCATGCTGGTGTTTAATGCTTCCCTCCTCCCCTCTACTCCGCTCTGGTGAGACCCCACCTGGAGTATTGCATCCAGCTCTGGAGCCCTCAGCACAGGAGAGACATGGACCTGTTGGAGAAGGTCCAGAGGAGGGCAACGAAAATGATCCGAGGGCTGGAGCACCTCTCCTGTGAAGACAGGCTGAGAGAGTTTTTCAAGGTTGTTCAGCCTGGAGAAGAGGAGGCTTCGAGGTGACCTCATTGCGACCTTCCAATACCTGAAGGGGGCCTATATGAGAGATGGGGACAGACTTTTTAGCAGGGTCTGCTGTGACAGGACAAGGGGTAATGGTTTTAAACTAAAAGAGGGTAGATTTAGACTTGACATAAGGAAAAAAAATTTTACAATGAGGGTGGTGAAGCACTGGAACAGGTTGCCCAGAGAGGTGGTGGAAGCCCCATCCCTGGAGGCATTCAAGGTCAGGCTGGATGGGGCTCTGAGCAACCTGATCTAGTTAGAGATGTCTCTGATCACTGCAGGAGGGTTGGACTAGATGAACTCTAAAGGTCCTTTCCAGCCCAAATGATTCTATGATTCCTCCTTCTGGGCACAGTCATACTCTGCACGGAGCTGCTGTCCTCCCCATGGCTTTGATGGAGCCGTGCCGGGAGGCTTTTTGGAAACGGGGATGGTAAGGCTGGGAAGCGCTGGTGCGCAGTGATGGGCCAGTGAGCTAAGGGGTGGGCGGACATCACAGCTTGGCATCATCCATCACTCCTGTCTGCCCGCTCTGCTGGGCAATGGTGCCCTGGAGCTGGCGAGCCAGCGAGTCTGCCGCCCTGTTTCCCTTAGATTCCTCTGGGCACAATAACGAGCCGAAGCATTGTTAGTACAAAATGCCAATTATGCCTCGGAACAGCTACAGAAAGACTGCAAGGGTGCATCCTCCCATAGCATCGCTCTCCTCGGCTGCCAAAACACCTCCCACCCGCTTGCCATTAACTTTCCACTCGGCATATTCCTGAAAATTGCAACAAATTTTATGCCTCCCAAGCCGAGCAGATAACAGAGAAATGGCACTATCTGGTTTCCCTGCTTTGTAGGCCTGGTAAACAAGTCTCTAGCCAAATCTTGACAGCAAAATGAAAAAATCCTTTGCATTTCACAACCCGTGGGAAAACAGGAAAGTGTGCGCTATAAGGAGAAGTGTTCCAGAAACGGCTCCAATCCTGGTCTGCAAGAACGAGCCAGATTCGGGGCGGCGTTGTGCTAAAAGCTCGGCTCTGGATAGAAGCTGGGGGAGCGTCGAGGGCAACGTGGGGGCTCGATGGTGAGGGACGTGTCCAGATCACACATGGCAGGGGAGATGGCAATGCAGACCAGCCCACCTCGTGCATAGCTGGGCTCATGGGGCAGCACCGGCGATGCAGGGACCCCAGCAAAATGGTTGGGACTGAACCCAGGAGCTGCGGACATTGCACCCCACTGCACCTCAGTTTCTGCAGCTGCACTAAATTTAAAAATTAAAAAAACCCCACCAAACTGTAAATCCTAAAACAAAAAGCCAAATATGTGGTTGGTACTACCTTGTGGACCAAAAGTATTTATGGGCTGGTTGGTTCCCAGTGTCCTTCCTTTTCAGGTAATGCTTTTAACCAGCACTGAACAGTTTGGTCCATGTTCCCCCACCCTCCATTTTGCCCCTTCTCCTTCCTTTGATTACAGCAGGATCTTAATGAGTTTCTTAACGAGGCTTATTAGCTCAATGCCTTGAGTTCCATAGGATGACTTTTGCAAGGTCTGGCTCACAAGTGTATCTTCAGTTGGGTTTTCGTTGGCTGCTTGGGGTGCTCCAGCCTTGGGATGGATAGATGGATGGATGGATGGATGGATGGCTGCTCCATTCCTCATCCCAACCCCAAAATGCCTTAGGTGAAGCAGAAGATGAGGATGTCAGAGGTGTCTGATGTCCCTCGAGCTGTGGTTGAGCCACACAACCCTGTGGCCGCCTCCCAGGGGATCAGCATTCCTCCTCCATCATGTCCCCAGCTGGGATGCAGATGTGCCCAGTGAGCTGAGCCGGAGGATGCTGGGTTTTTGAGCCTGCTCCAGCCAGGGGATGCAAAAGCAACAACAGCAAGACCACCCGGACCCACACCCGGGTGCCGGAGGGAATTTGCCATGTGACACCCACGGGTCTGGGGACAGCAGGACAGTCCCTGGAGCAGGTGGAGGAACCCCCTTACGGAGCAGGGTCGTGGTCCCCCTCTCCCTGTCCAGCTGGCGGGGGTGGTTTGTTGACTCAAGTGCTGTTACCTCATTT